TAGTGTGCAGCCAACACAGGCCAGGGCATTTTAAGTCCAGTTGAAACAGAGAAAGAGAATAACTAGGAATGAGGTGGCACATGCAATTGTAAAGTAGGGATTAAACCTCACAACAAATATATACGCTGGTTAAAGAGTCATATTTGGTGTTCTTATCAGTGGCACAGAATGGGAGTTCAAAGAACAGTTGGTCAGGCTCAGAAGACAGCCAAAGAAGGGAGCAGAGTAGTGAAACCTGAGATGCAAAAGAACAATTAGAATCAGATCCATCTGTGATAGCCGTGTTGATCTGTTTCCACCTGAGAGTCCCAACCCTTATTACCTAAGATGCTTTGAAGAGAATCTGATGGTTTTCTTTGTAGCCATACTTACTTCTGGACTAAGCTTTGTGAAACTAGTGAAGAGAACTCAGTAGGGACTGGAGTCTTAAATTTAGTTCCCAAAGAGATCCAAATGTCCTATGCAGGTATGCATGAATGAGATACAGAGTCTGACCTGCATGGATTGTCTTAGTTGTTGTGACACATACCCTGACCAAAAAAAGCAACATAGGAGAGGAAAGAGTTAGCATGGATTGCAATTCCAAGCTGGAGTGCATCACTTTGGATGAAGTCAAGGCAGAAACAGGAGCAGCTATGTAAGGCTGTCACTTCACATTGGGAGTTAAAAGCAAAGACAGAACATACACAATGTTGCTTTTTTGCTCTCAGTTAGCTCTTTGTACTCTTAAATAGCCCATGAAATGGTTATACCAAATAATAGGCTGGATCTTTCTATATGAACTAACCATCATGATCCACCCCGACTCCCAGATAAGTCCACAGACCAATCAGATCTAGGCAATTTCTCAGGTGAGATTCTTGGTTGTGCCAAGCTGAGAGCTCGACTAGGCAGCACATGGACCTTCACATACCCAGCCAAGGCTCCTGCTTCACTTCCACACTTCACATTCTGCACAGGATGCTGGGTAGAAAATGAAGTGGAAAGATTTCTGGGGAAAAGCTCAGCTTAGCTGTGGTGACCAATTACAAAGTCACCACCTGAGAAAATAAAAGCATATCACTATAAACAACTGAGGTTTAGATACTTATTTTGACCTTGGAGTAATTTCTGTGATAAAATGACAGCCCTGCAACTCTTTTCAGATTATTAGCTTTCCCAGACTCTGGGCAGAAGAGCAATGTCAGGCCCTGATAAAATTCTGTACTATGAGTGGCAAAAAGCCCAGAGTGAGGTAGATGGAAGTCATGCAAGTCATAGCTTTTTAAGTTCCTAATGTGTACTAGACCTCATACTAAACATAGAAACCATGATGGAAAACAAGAAAAGCATAGGCTTTAAGCTCCCAACACTCACAATAAAGCAAGAGATGGAACATGGAAAGACTCTTGGTTCATTAGCTGTAGCTATGATGTACACTCCAAATGAAGAGAGTAGTGATCTACGGACTTCATAACTTGATCTAGGAAAGTCAGAGTGAGGAATAGAAGGAGTCATGTAGGAACAAGATGTGGAATGTTCAAAGGCTCCAAGGTAAAAGCAAAACTGATCAAGATGAAAAGCTGAAGACAGAACTTACAGAACCGGAAGTCCTGTGTAGATCTCTTTCCTTTTGTGGCCATCGGTGGATCTCAGCCGCCAAAATGAAATTCAATCCCTTCGTGACTTCTGACCGAAGTAAGAACCGCAAACGGCATTTCAATGCACCTTCTCACATTCGGAGGAAGATCATGTCTTCCCCTCTTTCCAAAGACCTGAGACAGAAGTATAATGTTTGGTCCATGCCCATTCGAAAGGATGATGAAGTTCAGGTTGTTCGAGGACACTACAAAGGCCAGCAGATTGGCAAAGTGGTCCAAGTGTACAGGAAGAAATACGTCATCTACATTGAGTGAGTCCAGCGAGAGAAGGCTAACGGCACAACTGTGCATGTGGGCATCCACCCCAGCAAGGTAGTTATCACCAGGTTAAAGCTGGACAAGGACCGCAAGAAGATCCTGGAGAGGAAAGCCAAGTCCCAGCAAGTAGGAAAGGAGAAGGGCAAATACAAAGAGGAAACGATTGAGAAGATGCAGGAGTAGAGACATCTCATGCACGGCTTTCATTAAAGACTGCTTAAGTAAAAAAAAAAAAAAAAAAGAAAGAAAGAAAGAAAAGAAAGAAAAAGAAAAAAGAAAAAGAAAAGAAAAGCTGAAGACGAGCATGGTCAAATCTTAAAAGACAGAATGTGTGCAGTATGAGGCTAAAACTAAGGCAACACCAGGCCTTGTGTGGCCTCGTAGGCTACAGGGATGATTTTGAACTTATTATGAAAGAGTAGCAAAGATGTCTCATTGAAGGTTTTAATTTAAGGAATGACATAATCAGATTTCCATAGTGAGATATGTGTGTGCATAATGTGTTGGAGAGAGGCCAAGTAGACAGTTGGAATGTTAGCATAAAATACAGGCAGAATGAGGTAGTAAGTGGAGTCCCAGGGAGAGACAATGGAGGTAGAGAGAATGTGGGATTCTGTGTAGGAAATAATACTGATGTTTCCTGGCATCAACAAAATCTTTTTTTTTCTTTTTTTTTT